GGTGTAAACTGTCTCTGCTGTAAACTCTTTCTGGTGTAAACCTTTGTTGGCCTTGTCTGGTGTAAACGACGTCTGGTGTAAACCGTGTCTGGTGTATAGACGGTGTCTGGTGTAATCGATGTCTGGTGTAAACTCTTCTCTGGTGTAAACCTTTGTCGGCTTTGTCTGGTGTAAACTTTTCCATGGTTACTTCGTCTGGCGTAAACAACGTGTGGTGTAAACCGTGCCTGGCGACATGCACCATCATCATCATTATCATCATCATCATCACCTTCATCATCATCATCAGCATCATCATCATCATCATCATCCTTATCATCCACATCATCATCATCATCATTATCATCATCATCGTCGTCAGCACCATCATCATCATCATCATTACCAGCAGCTACGTCATTGCAATCGTCATCGACCTCATCGTCAGCTCATGATCACAATAGCATATCACGGGCGTATCGTGAGATCATCATCTCATGGCACATCATATTTTCATATTTATGTCATGTCATATTTTCTTTCACGGCATGAGAGTTACATGTGTTTCAGGTTGTGTTGTATTTGTATACTTGGCTTGAAATAGACCCAGCTGACTCGATGTGTTATTGTAGCTGATTGGATTTTTTCCGTCGTTTGCATCGGCATGACGGTGACGGCTTTAGCATGATCAGCATCAGATTTGTTGTTACAGCTGCTTGAATTTTTTCCTTTGTTGGCATCATCATGACGGTGACAGCTTTTAACATGATCAGCATCATTGACCTTTGTGTCGTATGGCTCGAAGGCAAGTGGACTCGCTTATTCTCGATCGACGGTCGGCAGAATCCGATCCGTGTGGTCGGTAGGGTTCATGAATCAAACGTATCTTTATACATAGATCAGTGGCGTTGGCGCGAGACCGCGAGTTGTGCGAATCTCGCCAGCACAGCCAATTCAACCGTGCGATCAATGGAGCTCATGAAACAAACGTATCTTACGTAGGTACCATCGACTTTATACATAGATCAGTTGCGTTGGCGCGAGACCGGAAGTTGTTCGAATCCCGCCAGCGCAACCAATTCAACCGTATGAAATCATGTTGGACCTTCGAAATCTTGTGTAGCTTTTTATAGCCATGGCTTCGTCTTCTTCCTCCAGTGGTCGCCTTCCGCTGCAGCGGGCTTTGCAAAATCTGCGGATGGAATGCGAGACTGGAGGTCAGCAGAGGTTACAGTCACAGCTCAATGGAAAGAGCATTGAAGAGCTGCGCAAGCTGTGCATAGCAGCTGGTGTGTCAATTCGACTTGGAGATTCTGACGTGAAACTGTCTAAGAGTGACTTAGTGCTTGAGCTGGTGAGGGTGTTGTCGACACCTGCAGAAGCTTGGTGGCAGATGTTGTGATTTGCCTACGTCGTCAAGCTACAATTTTTTTTTCCTGTGGATACACGGGAATACGTGCACGTGTATATGTAAAGAGTGGATCGTTAATCACATTGATGGGATCACGGCCAGCGCCATGCTCAGGATTCATCACAACCTTCAGCGGGTGACATTGAGCAGCTCGTCCAAGTTCTCCAGACAGAAGCTGCTGTCAAGGGACGGGAATGGTTGCAGTCGCAACTCGAGGGAAAGGACAGAGACGAATTGCGCAAGCTTTGTACGCAATTGGGTCTTTCCCACCGACGTGCGAACTCTACAAGTATGTTGACGAAGGCAGAGTTGGTGGAGCAATTGTTGCCGGCATTGTCTCCATCTTTGGACCCGTGGCTGCCAGTTTGATGACATGACATAATGTGATGATTCGTATGTGACAAGTATTCTATAGAAATATTTGTTTTTATTGATATGCACTTTTGTCTGTGCACGCGACACGTAAATGTTGTCAGTACACATGAGATATAAATGTTGGATGGGCATATTTTTTGTGAGAACGTTGTACGTTTCAGGTTCTTCGACAGTATGACATAACAGGAGGTTCGGGAATGCATGTGTTCATCCGGTTCTGCAACGTTTGGACTGGCTTTGCTCATTTTAGATGGAGCCCCATACTCAGGAATCGTCGCAACCTGCAGTGAGTGACATTGAGCAGCTCATCCAAGTTCTGCAGACGGAATCTGCTGTCAAGGGACGGGAATGGCTGCAGTCACAGCTCGAGGGAAAGAGCACCAGCGAACTTCGTCAGCTTTGTACATCGTTGGGTCTTTCCCGTCGACGTGCGAATTCTACAAGCATGTTGACGAAGGCAGAGCTGGTGGATCAGTTGTTACCAGCAATGTCTCCATCCTTGGACCCCTGGCTGTCAGTTTTAGAGACAACATGACAGGACACGATGTGATGATTCGTATGTAACAAGTATTCTTTATGCGTTGTCGTTTCAATTTGTTTGTCCGAGGCCTATAGTAGTGTATCTTTTCACTGCTATACACTTTTGTTTGTACACATTCATCAATAGTATGACATGATATGAGGTTAGGGAGTGCATGTGCTCATCCGGTTCTGTAACTTTTCGAATCGCTTTGCTCATTTTAGAGTGGACCCCATACTCAGGAACCATCGCAGCCTGCAGTGAGTGACATTGAGCAGCTCCTCCAAGTTCTGCAGGCCGAAGCTGCTGTCAAGGGACAGGAGTGGTTGCAGTCACAGCTGCAGGGAAAGGACATTAACGAACTTCGGAAGCTCAGTACGCACTTTGGTCTGTCTCATCGAGCTGCTGACTCTCTGCGTAAATTGAGCAAGGCAGAGCTGGTGCATCAGTTGCTACAAGCAATATCTCCATCTTTGGACCCCTGGCTGCCAGTTTGTGAAACAACATGACAGGATGTGATTGTTTGTACGTGACATGTGTTCCCTATGTCTTGACAACAGCTTTAGGAAAGAAGCGTTTGTTTGTCTTTTCGTTCTGATTGGTATGTTGGAATTTTGCTTTTGTTGTTGTTAGTTTTCAGGACGGTGGTGAGTGTGATGTTCTGACATGTCAGCGATAAGGTAACCGCTGAGCAACTGAAACTGGAGGCGGTACAGCAAGGCCCCAATGCACGGGCGTGGCTTCGTCGCAAATTGAACACTTTCTCGGCCAAGGTAGCCAAGGATTCAGTGGACGGCCGAAGCCCGCTGGCGGCGCTGGGTGCTGAAGTCGGTGTGGAAGACTGTCTGTCTAAGAAGGCGCTGATCGAGCGCATGATCGCCGTCTTGCTGCCAGAAGAATCATTGGACAGCAGCGCCGCGGTGCAGCGGCATGCTTGGCGATTGCTTCGGTCCTGTCTTGGAAGACAAGCAGCAGGCGAGCAAATCGATGCCGATTTCTTGAGCACAGAGGTAGTCGACGCAGATCTTCGGCTGAAACTTCTTGCATGGTGTTTGTGCATTCCGATGGACACTCTGGTGGGACGTCACTATAGCTCTCAGCAGACATTGCTGGAATTGATTCGTAGTCTTGGTTGCATTATGACACACTTCAATTCCGTTTCGGACGTTTGGGCCACACTGGATGTTGACTTGCAAAAACTTGATGCTGATGCTGCATTGCAGCGCTTTCCCAACCTTGAACGCGAGCACGTCATCGCTTTGCTGGCTTGCGTGTTGCACGAGAACCCAGTGAAAGCTCAAGGACGGCGGTAGTTTGATCAAACAGCTGAAGGTTGTGGCGTCGCTCATATCTGGTGGTTCATCGAGGATCCCACAGTCAAAGACCCAAATACAGAGCTGGCGAAGCATCGTCAGTCTGCCGGTGAATGTTTAGCTTTCTGGAAAGATTTGATGCATGTTCTTTGGGATGTGGCCTCCTGTATACTACTGGAACCACGACATCAGGTTTACGCCTTTGTTTCATTGCTTTGGAGGCATCAATCGCAGTACCGCCGCGCTTTGCTCCTGGCTGGTGATCTGGTGGGATCTCAGTGTCGAGGATGCCATTGACTGTGTGCTCCAGCAGCGTCCAAGCCTGAGACCGTGGAAGCGACGAGCATATGTCTTGTATGCACTGCGATCCTTGGAGCATCACAAGCATGCCTGGCGTTGGGAATTTGAAACGTCGTGACCAAAGTGTCGACAAAAAGCTGTGAATTCGTGGCCAAACTGGCTAGAAGGACCTGGGTCCACGACCGGAAGTTGTTCGAAGTCGGCCCTTGTTCCGACTGAATGTGCAGAGACCCCATGAGGAACGGGATCCACGACCGAGAGTTGTTCGAAGTCGATCCTGTTCCGACTGGGTGCGCGAATATACCTGATAACCGATAAAATTGTGCAAACAGAGCTCTATAGACATCTTTTTTTTGTTCGATTGTTGGACTTGAATGATATTCTTTGCTTGTTGTGATTTGACCTGAAAGACCAGTTTCGTTTCCAGAGACATTGAGTCTTTTGAACAGGTTGAGCGGCAACAAGTGGGACCAAATGAAAGTGGACACCACGCAATGGAATTCCAGGAGGCCGGCATGTCGATGCCACATATAGTCACCAGCCACGAAGTTACAAGTATCGGCGAAAAGCTGTGAATTGGCTATTGCAAAGTGTCGTGACCAAACTGATTAGAAGGACCTGGGTCCACGACCGGAAGTTGTCCGAAGTCGACCCTTGTTCCAGCTGAACGTGCAGAGACTCCACAAGGCACGAGATCCACGACCGAGAGTTGTTCGAAGTCGATCCTGTTCCGACTGGGTGTGCAACTATATCTGATAACCGACAAAACAACATGAGTTGAACTGTGGGTAATTTGTTTTGTTTTTCAAGTGTTGCATTTGTATGAGCATTGGTTGTCCTGATGCCAGGTTGGGACGTGCGATTTCGCACACTTCGGCGGCTCTTACTACCGGGACTAGCGTTTGAGCTCGACCGGCGCTGGATAAAAAAGAATCGACCGGGACTACCGTTTGGGCTCCGAAGTACAGTGCAACAGAATATACATTAATAGATTTGGTAATAACGTGATAATAGTATCATAATCATAATGTATATATATATATTATATATTGTGTCATCTCATCATCATCTCATTTTGTTTCATCTTAATGTTTTGAATCATCATATATCATCTCTTCATTTCTTTAGTGCTCATTCATCTTCTGTTACTTCGCTTTTCTTCCCTTCTATTTGTTCTCTTCCGCCTACTTGCTTTCGGGCCACCCTGTCGTCTAGTTTTTTTGGTTTTTGCGGAGGACAAGAGGAGGACCAACTTGCATTTGTATTGCCACTATGGGCATTCTCCATCAAGCCTGAAGCTTCCTTGCGGGAGCCCACAGCGCTTGACACCAGCTATAGGTTGCTCATGCAATTTGCGACTGATGGGTTCATTACACAGGGGGAGCCCATCATGATCAGGCTTGAGGTGCGGGTGCTATTGTTGTTGAAACCAAGTACCTGGCAGTGATACTTTTCATAGAGGTTTGATGACCAAACACAGTTACTTTTTAATGCCTGCCCTGTTGCAGGTGCCGGTTCCTACTACTGGTCCAGTTCAGGAGGTCTATTTTCTCAAAGGTGCTGCGCGTGTGCACACGGCCATGGCTTTGATGGTGTGGCTAAGTAGGGAGGGCCATGCAGACTTTGAATCTTGACCCACAAAGCAAGTGTTTGCTTTTTGATTGTTGTGTGATTTAGTTCAAGTGTTGGTTTCTGTTTTGTGTTCATATGAGTGGTAAAGAAAGGTAAAGAATGGCCCTTGCAAACATCATCCCAGGTGACGAAAGATCCCATTCTCTCGAGCACTTTTTCAAGAGTCATGTGTAAGCATGTTCGTTTGGTGGACAAACAGTCTGAACTGTGGCTTGCAGTTGCAGCAACAGCAGATTTGTATGTCATGCTGCCACAATGAGTGTTATTTCATACCAACAACTGTTTGTTGTTGTTGTGTTGTTGTTGTTGTTCCTTAATTTGAGGGTTTGGCCCAACACCTGTTTCTTGTTAACCATCCTTTGAGGTTCTACAACTTCAAAAAGTCGGTGCGTGGATCCATCCGGCGATCTCCATCCGCCATCAGCTGGGTGTTCAGCTTCATGAACATCAAAGCTGACCCAGCTACAGTGATTCGCCAGTGGATTCCAGGCTAAAGTCCAGAATGTGTTATTCCTTCACTTGGAGATGCAAGGCTGTAAAACCAGCAATTGGGTGCAGGTTTGTTGATGACAGTTTTGGTGCCTCTGAGGGATTGCTATGGTGGGGGTCCATGTTGGCAGTATCTGAACATTGAATCCTCTTGACTCTTATGTGGTTTGTCTTATGTTCAAAGATTGTACCACGTTATTTTCTTCAAACAGCATTTGTCCGTCTATATGCTAGAAATGATGGTTTGCCAGGAACAATGAGGCAGCTGGCCCTGATCGCCTTGTTGGAACAAAGCGACTATCAGTACAAACCATTTTGGACCTGCCTGCAGTTGCCAGGGATGTCTTGGTAGCCACAGTTTCTGAATTTGGGTGGGATGGCTTCTTGGATCAAGTTGTTTCTTTTCTTCATTACATATGTTCTTTGTTGTTTAAATTGATTCGGATGGAATATCGCACTCTGCACTGTTTTTCAGGATGCCCATATTCAGATGATAGCCTGGCCAGCAAGAAGATCCTACCAGGATATTGCTACAAAAGCCGCAGCTTTGCAAGAAACTCCCCGTGGATTGCTAGGAGTACGGTGACTGAAGACTCATGCCAGTTGATGTTCAATATGATTTGGCGGCAGCATACAGCAGGCTTGAAAAGTCTCAAGCGACATGAGCTGGAGGAGAAAGCTCAATGCTGTGCTCTGGCATGCTTCTCACCTTTGCTCAGCAAGTTTTCCCTGTATGTTTGCCTGTCAGTGTGGGATGTCGTTCCATTACTTCAAACTTTAAAGTGAATATTCCTTGTGACATCAACACTGGAGGTGCTTTGGTGCAGGAAGTTGTGGACCAGATTCCCAACACTGCAGTGGTGCTTAAGAACCAGCCCATAGTCAGAATATTTATATTTGTTCCTTATGGCTCTTTCATGTTCTTTCTTTGTCGCTAGGTCTCATCAGTTCTAGGCTTGAGAGCTTGCTCTGATGGCATGTCAACCTCAGGTTTTTGGATCGGCTGTCAAAGGGTGATGTGTCACTGGAAATGGAACTCAAGGCTTTGCTGATGAACAAGACTGACAGTGTTACATGCCGAGATAACCCCAGCAGCTTGCATGATTGTGATTGATTTGTTATCAACTGCTTGTTAGTCTGCTGATTTCTGGTTCTTCCCTTGCACTAGTGTTATTTGTGTGTACTTGCGCGCTCTGTGATCTACCACTTGAAGCTTAGGCATTGCTTCCATCCTTGATGAGCTCAACGACAAAGTGGGATCTGTGGAGCTGATGTCGACGCTTGAAGTTCAAACGCAGCAGCTGGAGAGCAAGCAGTTTGAGGTGCTGATGGAGGAGCTTGAGCATGATGTCAAGAGTTGGCAGGTCCACCTCAGGAAGATTTCGGAGTTTGACCTGAGGGTAGTAAGCCAGAAGGATTCCTGGAACTTGCAGCGCCATGCAGCAGCAAAGTCAGCAGCTGCAAGCATCATTGCGCAGAAGGCGAGTGGATGGGGCTTGGGGCAGAAAATGGAAAACAAGTGGTTCAACATGGTTACAGTAACAATCTTTTGTAAAGGCGCCAATTGCTCTCTGGATCAAGTGGTGATTTTGAGGTAGGGATCTATGCGTGGCCAACAAAGTTTGATGCTGGAACAGTGGTAGAGCATCTTCAAATGTTGAGTGCTGATGCTGGAAAGTGGACTCGCAAACTCAAGTGTCAGCATATGGCTGCTTTGCCAAAGTAACTTTTGTTTGATTTTGTGTGAGTATGGGTGACCTTACTTCTTTTGCAATGGTCAACAAAGTAACAGTCTTGAGGCGACACTGTTGGTCCTGAACTATGCGTCACCGAGCATTTTTCGGAATGATGTCATGGCAGCCAATGCCAAAATAGCAGGCCACTTTTGTGCTACAGATTCTGGCCGAGATGTTGCAGGGATGCTCCTCACACCTGTGTTTACTTACCGTCCTGGAACACTCTTCCTGGAGGAACATGCGATTCTAAAGACATTGAACTCCTCCCACATGTCTGTTGACTTGCCAATGCAGCTGATCTTTGATCCAAAATCCAAAACTGTGCCTTGATGTTTGAAGTAGGGAATGACTTTGCCTGATTCTCATTTTTTGTACCCTACTCAGTTTGATTGCTCTGCATTGAGCTGCAAGTAGAATTTCCCAGGATGCCCGTGACAATCGGCCTCTCACCTATGGTGGCAAGATCTTGCAGCCTGGGGCCTTTGTAGTCAAGCCTGCTGATTGGTTTTGGAAGAACAGCTCATTGGTAAAATTCGGGCGCAACCTCACGGATGCCAACCAGCTTGCTGCCAGGGTGGGTTTGTCCCCAAAGTGTTACATGTTCTTGGGGTGATTTGAATCTCTAGTGGAGGGCTTCTTGTGGCGCTGTGCTGGCAGGATATGGTTCAACCTGAAGACTTGGGAAGTCATGGTGGTGCTGCTGCTCCACTGCCCATGACAGACGCTGGCCACATCAAGGGAGCTCTCAAATACAGTCAGATCGGCAAAGAGGCGGCATTGACTTTGTTGAAGGCAATGACGGATTCCAAGAATGAATGATTGCACTGATTTTTAGTTTTGGGTTGACAAATGTCCTCTTTTGTTCAGTGCCTGCTGTTTGATTTTCCAGCAACTAGGAAGGTTTGAGTTGGTCAGCATCGAGCTGCCTCCAGATCATTGACATGACACCACTTGTCTGTGACTTTGGGCTGGCTGCCATCTTGATGAGCTTGAGTATCAATGTTCCTGTCCGATACTGTTGCCTGTGTGAGCAAACGGAGGAGGAATGGATATATGAGCATCTGAGCGCCAACCTTGTCCAGCAACTCTTGTCTGGTGACATGCCATCACCACCTGGTTGTGCCATTCCTGCGCAAGAGCCACCAGCGGAACATCTTGAATCTCGGCCAGAACCTCCACACATGCGGCGGCTTACGTTCATCAAAGCCACTGGGCTGTCATTGTTTATCTTTTTGTTGGCTGGATTGTTTTTGTGAAGGTGATGTCCTATAAATGTCTTTGGTGCCTGATGGTGCAAAGGTTGATGGGGAAGTGGCTGGCATCCAAGTTCCGGACAGTGTTGTGAAGCAGTGGTACAGCCATGGTAGTCATGGCAATGAGTTTCGTGCTTGGCATGACTCCTTTGTGGAAACGTGGCCCAAGCCGACAAAGACTGCAGCAAAAAGGACTGCTGCCTCAGGTGCTGGAGGCCCATTGAAGAAGACAAGGAATGCTGAGACTGAAGCCACACCTGATATGACCAGCCTTGCAGACATGATCCGGGAACATGTGCCTACTGAGACGGAGATTGCTAAGTGCAGCCTGCTGAACCTTCAGAAGGTTGACCTCATTGTGCAAGCAGGTTCAATGTTTGTCCAGAGTGTGGGTGAAGAGAAGGTTCATGGGCATTAAGGTTTCAATTTTTATGTTTGTTGCTGTAGGTTTGTTGTTGCTATCAGTTGTTGTGTGTTGACCAGTGCCTGTTTGAGGTGGTCATTCCAAAAGGGGCAGTACTTGCGGGATTCGGCAAAGGAACTTTCAAGAATGTCCCAATGGGCCAGTCGCTTGAGGAGCATGACGTGGAGTTTCTGTGCAACAGTCCGGACAGCCTGGCAATCATGGATGGGACTGTGCAGTTGCTTTCGCATTTCCTGGATCAGAAACGCCAGGCAGCTCCTGACAAGCAAGCCCTGTGCTACTATGAGACCTCGTATGACATTGCGGAGACCAAATGGACTTTGAAGCAGGTGTGTGGTTGAAATCAAGTGTGCATGGAAGTTAAAAGAAGTATATAGGTTGGTAAAGAAAGTATGTTGGTAACTGCCTGGGTTTGCTGTGTCCAAGGTGCAGCGCATTGTGTTTGTGCCCAATGCTGCTGAGCAAAAGACGGCCCAAACCACCATTGCAAAAGCCTGCCCCTTGAAGTCTTGGTCATCAGCCTGGACTACAGTTGCGTGGCATCTCAAGAGCACAATGAATGGCCTTCAGCCAATTCGCCCGGTGATCATTGCTTCACGTGCTGTGGAGATCCCTGCTGGCCAAGTTTTGCTGATTCAGAACTGAGATCAGGCTGTTGGTTAGCAACAAAAGTCACATGCAAGTCGCTAGTGATGTAGGTTCAAGGAACGGACTGGCCTGGTGGTGAGCATATGTTTTGTCATGTTGTAGGTGAGTAGGTGGCTAGCACTGAGGCTGTTCTTAGTATCTTGCTTGTGGGTTAGGGCTACCACCGAACCAGTCAGTCAATGTGTGACAGCATCGCCAAACCCTTTGGCCTGCGAGTTGTGCCAAACAGATTGTGGCAATGCTGCCTAAACTTAAGCTACTTCTCATTCCCTCCTCTTTCACACAGGTGTTTTTGCTTCTTGGGATTTACTTACTGTGGGCTTGCTTGGTAAGTATCATGGCTTGTGTGTGAGGGGTGACAGTAGCGTAGGCGTAGGCAGCTGGAGAGTTGTGTACTTACATGTGTATTGAAAAGCATATGACGTGGTAGGCAGGCTTGGCATTCTCAACCCATCTTGGACATCACTATCACAGTGATGATTATTGAAAGGTTGAAGACTCCATATATGATTTGACGACAGTGCAAAAACACATGGGCCATCCAGCTTCCACATGTTGTTGAGTTGAACCAGGTTCCATTATTGTTCCTTGCTGGGTGACTGCTTTCTGTTATTCACCGAACCACCATGCCAAGGTGGCTTGCGGTGGCTTCTGCAGGCAGCTTTTCGGGGATTGGTGGGGTGATGGGTGAGAAGATGGGGTGATGGGTGAGAGGGGATGGTCTGGTGATTGGGGTGATGATGGGATGGCTTCGTGTTTTGCTGGTGACTGCATGGGTCACAGCCCTTATCGTGATGGTGCCAGGATGGTGACAAAGGGGCTGTGATGAGGATGTTTGGTGGAACTTCTGGAGAACGTCCCACATCCAAAGACTGATGCTTGTGGCAAAGCGTGAAGTTCAACAGCCGCCTTCAACGAATGAACCTTGAGCAAAGACTTGTGCAGCGTGGACTTGGGAGTCGAAACTTCACTGGATGTGGCAGTCAGATACCCCAAGTGCAGATGTATGATTGGGTTCGAGGATGACATCAATATCGATTCTTTGATGTCGATGGGATGAAACTGCACTTTACACGTCCCTTCAGAGGCAACGCTTGACTGTCGTGGCTTACACGGTGATGTGATTCGAGGAAGCCACTACAAAACCAGTGGTGGGGCCCATGAGACTGTCCTCTGGATTCTGTGTGCACTATGAACACTGTGTGCTGGGCGATTGTTGATCATGGGTAGATGGCCATTGCACGACTTACCATTGTTGGTATGTGACGAGTGCTATAATGCCACTGGTGACAGCCCGGGAGCTGAAATGCTCACCCGATTTGGAGCAACCTGGGATGATCTGGCCCACGGTCCACTTCCATCGCTGTCAGGAATATGTGCTTCAGAGACATGTCGTCAGCAAGCAGCAAGCACTTCGCCTTTTTCAAGACTGTGATTGCCGGCTTCTTGCATGTTGTCCTGGCTTCAATGTCCCAGTGTTGTTGCTCAGA